TACACTTAAAATCTTTCCGCTGTTTATTATACATGGTGTTTCAAAACTATGTCAGAGATTTTTAGGATATATTTTAGGAGAGTCAAAATAAGAAAAAAAGTTTCTATAAACTTGTGTTCAAAAATGAAAATTACAAAAATAAAGTAAACTATTCATTATTATATATTGTGCAAAATTTCCACGATTTCCGTGAAAAAGTCTCCAAGAAATAATAAATTTTTCGATTGTTTCTCCCAACTTTAGACGACTGTAACTCGGAGAAAATGCATTTTGGGTCCACGTTTATGGGAACTTTTTTTCTTATTTTGACCCCTAGATACGCCCTTAAAATTTCAATTATCAATATTTTTTATTTATATATATATTCATATCTGTCGAGGACTTTACTATAACTCTTACAAATTTTACAATACATGATTAATTGAGTAGCAATTTATCTTTTAACAATATAGCTACAGCATTCTTAGGTTATTTTCTTCCCTGAGGACAAATATCTTTTTGAGGGGCTACAGTAATTACAAATTTAGTCTCAACTATTCCATATATTGGTAATTTAATAGTTCAATGAATTTGGGGAGGATTTTCCATTAATAATGCAACTTTAAATGGTTTTTATTCTCTTTATTTTACTTTACCTTTTATTATTATAATAATATAGTAATAATTTATTTATTTTTCCTTCCTCATAAAGCACAACAAGATTGCAGCAGCATTGTGGCAACATTTCATTGCAATATTACAATATTGCATAAACATTGTGAAATGTTGCAGCAATCTTGCTGAAAGGTTGCAGCAATGGTAAAATGTCCACTTTCAGAAACATTGTTCTATAACATTGCAGCAATAATGCAATAAAATATATATGTAATATTACTATTGGATTATTAGAATTGTGCCAAATACATGATCGCAAATTTATGCCTATATAATATTTCTGCAATATTGCTATGCAATGTACAATATTGCAATGTTGTTGCAATATTGCTGCAAACTTGTGTGCATGAGTCACATAACTGGCTCATCAAACCCAGTAATAACAAATAGAAATTTAAATAAAATTCCTTTCCATATATATTTCTCTTCGAAAGACATTTATGGATTTACATTTTTTATTTTTATTTTTCTTTATTAATCTAGAAATTCCTTATACTTTTAGTTTTATAGTTTTAGAAACACGTACCTTATATCCAAAGTCGCTGCAAGGCATGAGACAATAAGTATGTATGCGTGTCTCTTGAGGATATACATACCTGTGTATAGAATAATTTCCGTTATCGTGCTCATGTAGGATTGCATAGAGTCTCGGTCTAAGGAGGAATTCGCGAAAACGCCACGCATGCCGAAGCGTGATTCCGGCCTCTTACTTCGCATTTCTTTGTCCGAACACACACACACGCATATAATATTCCCACAAACACATACATATGCATATGTATATAGTATAGATATATGTATATAGTATTTAACGCGATGTGTAGCGTGTAAAAACATACACACCAGTGTCGAACGACGATAATTACGCCCAAATTAAGATAATAGCTCTTTAGTAAACAATTAATGCTATTTTAAACATATATCTTTTGATATCATCGAATAAAATAATATTGCTTTAATTTAGACTCCTTGATGATACTATAGAATTAATACAAACTACATTTATATACATGTTTATTATGTGTACATATATAAATTTATGTCTAAATTTACGTATATAAAAATATATATATTATATTAATTTTATATATATATATATATATATATTTATTATATATAAAATACAATAAAATTAATAAATATATATATATACATATATATAATTTTTATTTACACATATATAATTTTTACGTATTTTGGAATTGCTTAGAAGATTGGAAGAAGAAATTGAAGAAAGAATAATATGTATAGATATATGATATATTAGCATTATCAATTAAGATTAATTAAGCAGAATATAATATTATTTTCATTAATAAGTGAAATAGCGGAATAAAGAAAAACAGCGCTTTTCTGAAATAATTAAGAATTTTAATTAAACCTGAGGAATATATGTATAATTATCTATACATATTTCGAGTCTTTTTTGCAACAGCAAAAGACCTTTTTTAGGGAAAGAGTAATAGAAAAAAAATGTTCTCTTTCTTTTATTACAGTTCTAAATATTGTACATAACTTTTTAAATTTTTTCAATTATTAGACGAAGGAAAAAATTTTTATATTTAAATTGTTGAATAATTGTTTTAATCAAATTCTTATGTATCGATCAAAACAATAATCCTAATTTTCGAAAAAATAAAACTTTGATATACCGATGTGATAAGTATGTGAAAAAAATTGTAATGATTGAAATTTTTAGAATTTAATAAGAGACTTAAGATACTACAATGTGCAAAGAGCATATACATAAATAATAAAAACCCATTATGATGGAAGATATTAGAATTAACGCGCGTGATTTTTACGCCATATAGATATACCTATATAATTTACAAAGTATATAAAAGTGCAAAGATATGCGAATTAGTAATTTATTAAATCATTTTCTTAAAAAAAAATTTTAGACTTTCCTTTTTTTTATATTTTTATAATTAAGTGAAATTTTAATAATTATAGATTATCATAAATCATATACATTTAGTATTATTATCAATATATAACATATAATAAGAATAATATTTTATTTTGTATTTTATATATTATATATGTATATATATTTCTTTATTAATTTTTGTATTTTACAAATTTAAATTCTGAAATTTTTCAAGAATTTTTAAAATTAATTATTTGCATTTTTATGAATTTTCGGATATTAACAACATTGTAACGAAATAACGCCCTCATCTAAACGTAACTAAAATTGTTGATAATACCGACAATTTTAATTCCGCCATTATCGACGCTAATATACAGGGTGTAACAAAAATATGAGCTGATATTTTAGAAGCGCATTTTATTTACCGAGAAGAGCAAAAACGATTACATAAATATATATCAAAAAAAATGCATCATTTTCATATTACAAAATCATATTTAAATTGAACTGAGGATAATAATTATAACGTGTATTTTTTTCATTTCGGCGATTATTATTGGACATCTTGTATATATGTGGAATTAATATTAATAAATTATACAAATATTTTGACTAATAATTCAAAATTAATAATTTTCTGAAAATAAAATACAGATGAGAATCAATGAAATATAGTAATTTTAAAACGATTATATATCTATTACAAATAAACAAATGCTACATAATATTAAAATAATACTTACATAACACTTGTTATACATATCACATGTTACATTTCAAGTTGTATTGTTATATTTAATATATTATAATGAGTAAGTAACAAAGTAATATAACAGTTCTATAATAATTATATATTGTATAAAAAATATTATATAATATTACCACATAATAAAAATAGGGTATAACATTTATTATATTACTTGTTACTTTTAATTGTTGGATAAATTCTACTTTTTGTAACAAAAAATTTCCGCTTAATTTTAAGTATTATAATTGTGATGGTAATTATGTAGCCATTTTATTAATCATATTCATAAGAGACAAATTTTATTTTTATTATAATTATGTTTTTACTTAACTTACTTTCATATTTAACATATTCTCACCGCACTATTCTACATTATCTTAAGAGATTATTAACCGATCACTAAATGTAACTAAAATAGTTGATAATACCGACAATTTATTCGATCACTAAATAGTTTTATTCATTTCGAATATAATCGGTAACTTTTATCATATTTTAATTGTTAAATATTGAATGTATTTATTTTTCAGTTTAAAATATTTCGAATTTTTTTATGTTAATATGTAAAAGATATATTGCTATATGATTTAATATATATTAGAATTACTAATAGTTTAATAAAGTATAAGGACTTAAAGATTGCGACGTTGTCAGAAACATTTAAAGAAATAATTTGAACCTTTAATGCTGTTTAAAAGAAATTCTTTTGAAGCTGTGAAGTAATCACGTACTAAAAGTGCGAAGAAAAAGAAATTTCTTTTATAGAAAATTTATTTAAATCTCTTAGGGCCGGTGGTTCCAACTCTTGATAAGTTTTACCCGACAAGTAGCATATCTTTGTTTCTTTTTTTAAACTTATCTGAAAAGAGACGAAAATATGCTATTTATCATTATTAAAATATTGAAAAATGTTAATAAGGCAGAGTTACATATTTATATTCAAACTTTCTAATTTAGTCATAATTGTTTTTAATAATCAATTTTATATTTATTTTTTTATCATTTACTTAGATTTTCTGAACACATTGTTAGTCGATTTCGTTCTAAATCCTTCTGCGTGAATGTGTGTGTGCAAAATGTCCCAAAGTTAAACAATTATTTTGCCAGTATCTTCTACAAGAAATTATAATAAGAAAATAAATAAAGATTCCTCTATAAACGTTTAATTTTATTATCAAGCAACATTAAACAAAGGAAAAAATACGTACTCTTTGTTTCAATTTAAAATACTATCTGATACTAATTTTGAATCTCCAAAAACAAAAAATTATGCATAATTTATACACACTATTTAACAGTTTATTTAAATTTAATTATTTTTTAGAGTAAAATTTAAAACTTATATCTCTTAAATTTTTCGATATATATAAGACACTTGAAATATTCATATATTAAACAGATTAAAAAACTGAGAACCCAGACCAGTTATTTAGTTTTTATGCATATGCTTATAAATATTAATTTAAAAATCATATGTAGAATTATATATATATATATATATATATATATATATATATATTTATAATTTTTATTAATGCTTATAAATATTAGTTGAAAAATCATGTGTAAAATTATATTGTGTATATTATATGTATCAAGGCACATGTGTTTACAATTTTATATCTAGATTTATAGACCTATGTTTATGTTGTTAAACCTTCGTTTTTGTATCAAGTTTTTATTATCTGATAGATTTTTAAGTGTCAATGTTAGAAGAAGTTGTGCCTCGCAAAGAAGCTCACACTCTTTCCGGAATCAGAGAAACTTTTTCAATTTCTGCGAAACAATAATATCAAGTATGTATGTGAGATAGTAATAGCTCTTATTATCTATTTTTTGAAATGCATGTCTTAAATATTTCAAAAAGAAATAATTAAATATATTTTAAAAAATATATAACGTTCTTGCGCGTTTCATTTTATTGCTTTTCAAAATCGCAAGTGAACAAAATGATCACACGTATAATATTATTATGCAGTAGATTGTGTCAATAATTTTATTAAATTCATGTACATATTATATATATTTTAAAAGAGCTGAATTATGCATGGATTCAGACGATATTCATTAAGACAATCAAAAAGAGAAAAATTTATAATTCGTAACAGGTTGCACCGGTAGACTCAAACAACATGGAATTTTTCGAATTCGCAGCCGGGGATAATTATAAAGTATGTATATGAGATAGTGCTCTTAATATCGATTTTTTTAGAAACGCATGTCTTATATATATCGAACAAAAATAATTAAAAATAACTCTTAGTTTATTCAATTCAAAAATAATTAAATCTATTTTAAAAAATATATACCATTCTCGCGCGTATCATTTTATTATAGCTTTTCAAAATTGCAAGTGAACAAAATGATCACACTTACAATATTATTATATTGTGCAGTAGATTGTGTCAATAATTTTTTTTAAACTCATGTACATATTATATATATTTAAACACATATAAATTGTGCATGCATTTAGTCGATATATTCATTATGACATTCAAAAAGAACATTTAAAATTCGTAACAGGGTACACTGACAGACTCAGAGAACAAGGCAGAAATCCGAGTTGAGGATCAGAATAGCATTTTAATGCCATTGATAAACATGTTAATGAATGAGCAGAAATTTATAGACGAGATTTATTTTTTGGATGAATTTCCTTCGACTGACGTGATTCTTCCCGTATGGAACTGTAGTCCAAAACTAGTTATTGAGTATCTAAGAAATGTACATGATGCGCCTTATCCAAAAACTTGTGCTTTATCAAGGATTTATTATAAATACAATATAAATGGTATAAATGGTCCGATAACGCGCGAATATGTGTTTACTGATGATATGTCTCTCGTCGACGATATCATCATTATATGTTATTTGAATTGTTTAGAATCACAAGATCTAAATTTGCTAGGAATACATCATTTATTTTTTATGATGCGGCACAAATATAATATTGTGTCCGCAGGCACGATATATCAGGCATTATCGCCTTCTAGGATTACCTGGACTCAAATAATGTATTCCTTTCCAAGCGTAACCTGGGCATATACAGCACCATCTTCTTCAGACATGCATATGAACGTATCAATATCTACTATGAGGAAAAGAACGATTTGGTGCAACCTGATTGCTTCAGTTCTCCCTCGTTTAGAGGCAGATTATATCCCTATAGTGTATCTCTCAGCGATAATGATTGAATTAATTCAAATCCTCCATGAAAATAATGCCCCGTTTAGTAGAAAAATTCGATTGCTACAAATTTATAGGCATATCCTTTCATTATATAATTCTAAAGCCTTCCCTAAATCTTTGAAATTTACGTTATGCGAGAGAAGGAACATTATACGAAGAGTCAATGAACAACATAACCAATATAAATATGATCATTTTGAACAATTTTATTCTGTCACTGAAAGATTTTTATCAGACGTAGAATCACAAGTGCGGAATAACTCATGCAATTTTTTAGTATAACTTCCGTAACATATGTTCTGGCTTTATATGGTATCTAGCATTATATATACTTATAAATAAAAATATGTACTTATTGTTACAAAGATTAAATAAGATTTACTTGCTTTTGTAGTTATAACATTTAGAAAGCGCGAATTTTTTTCAGGACTTTTTTTTATCAACTTGTATTAATATTTATTTAAGGTTTTATTGTATAAATGACAAACTAAAATTGACGAAAATTTATTTTAAGAAATCCAATCTGTTCCGAAAAATATACGTACATACATACATACATACATATATATGTATGCATATTATTGTATGTATATTATGTATATTTTTTCTTGGAGTAGATTAGATGTTTTCAATTCAAATTTTCTTTCTCAATTTCAGTTCATTAGAAAACGATATGTACAATGTATATTGATTCCAAACTGTTTTCGAAAAAAAAAATTTCTGTATTATTATAATTTGTAAAAAATGCACAGACTACTAATAATATATAATAATGTTAATGCAATAATAAAATACACACACACATACTATATGCATATATATGCATATATATATATATATATATATATATATATATATATAGTGTGTATTCTATTCTCAAGTAACAAATTGATGTCAAAAATTGTGTACATATATTTGGAAGTTTTAAATATTAATAATTAATAATTTATAACACATTATTCTCTAAAATTATTTAAAGTTAGTCTTTTAATTTGAAACTAAACTAAAATTTTTTTAGTGTTTAAATTGATTTCTAAATTGCTGAGTTTTAATTTTTAACATATTTATAATTTTATTTTAATATCCTAAAACTTAGAAATGCAAATACTTGAACTACAATGAATTTTGAAATTAAATAAATCTTTACTTATACGTATATTTGTAAAGAAAATCAAAACGTTTTAAAATAACATATTTTTAATTATATATATAATATATATGTATATATAATATATATATATATATATATATATATATATATATATATACACATGTTAAAATAACGTCATTTTGACGTGTAATGAGGTCTTTCGACATCAGAAAGACGAATGCTTGTTACATCTGTAGTTATTATTAACATAATAGTCTGTGCATTTTTTTGCGTGTGGGTATCTATATTTATATAAAATTTTTTTGCGTTGTTTCGTCGAAAAAAGGATCGAAGAAAGGATATAACTTTCTAAGAATTTGACAGACTATTGGAATAATTGGCGAACATTACCTCTGCACTTTCGTGGGTTGCATCTCGCAGCCGTCACCTCAGTTTCGTCTCCTACAGGGAGATACGACGACGGAGGTGCAGAGCGAAACCCAAAATCTCATGTCAACAGTCATTTTCATTTCGCCACACGTGCGTGCGTACAAAGCGACGAGCGAGAGAGAGCCGAACCCATTTCATCCCCATGCACCCTCATCGCGAACCCATAATCGTAACCTAACCAACTTGTGTTAATACGCGGCAATTCGTACAGACGAATCGCAGAGGTATTACATTTATTCAAATTCTGCACAAATGTATCATATAGTGATTCTACGGTAGGGACACATTTTTTCTCGTGAATAGTTAACAATTTTATTTTAGAAAAAAATTATATTTAAAAAAACGTATTTATATATTTAAGAATTTATCATCATGACAGTTTGCTTGTGGCCAACTGATTTTTGCGAAAAATGCCAAAGTAAACCTATTATATTTTGAGACATGTAATAATTTCAACTGTGCTACTTTATGCCTTTCATAGATGATAATTAAATTTAAATGGCAATAGAGTCAAGAGAGAGAGAAGAGAGATAATGTTATTTTAAAGTCTTTTTGATATATTCTTTAAAAATAGATATTTTTAAATTATATTTCTCCAAAAATTGTGCACATATATTTGGAAGAGTTTTAGATATTAAAAATAAATAATTAATCACATATAACACATATTATTATACTCTAAAATTTATTAAATTTAATATTTTAATTTAATACTAAACTTAAATTTTTTTGGTATATAAAGTATTTTCTAAGTTGTTGATTTTTAATTTTTAATATATTTATTAGTTTATTTGAATATCCTAAAACTTCGAAATGTAACTACTCAAGAAATATAAATTTTCAAATTAAAAAAATACATATATATTTGTAAAAAAATAAAAAGGCTATAAAATAATATACATTTTAAAATATACATATTAAAATAATACGACTAAACTTCTATTGTCATTTAAGAGATATGAAGAGATAGCTATCTCTATAAAGAAGATAAGATAGAATGGAGGCTAAAAGGTTTTGGGGATGATAGATTTCGATCTTGTCATGAGGAATCGTTCGAGATATCCATCAACAGTCCATCAACCAAACAATTTTATAGAGACACATTTTATATTCTGACCGACTGATACATTTTTTATACTTTACTGACTAATTTTTTATACTTACTTACTAATTTTTACTTACTGACTAATTTTTTATACTTATTTACTATTTTTTTTACTTTTGAAAAGAGGACTCAAACGTTTATATTTTTGCGTTGTTCTTTAGACACATGATATTTGTACTTTTTTGTGACTGACAACTTTTCAATAATTTTTTATCTATCCTATACTGTTTGATATAAAATAATTTTTTGTTCTAAGTTATAAGAGTCATGTTTCAATCTTTCATTAATTATCTCACAAATTATAAAACAAATATTAATATACGCAATTTGCTCTTTAAAGCCTTTTCTCGTCTCACATTATTAAATTAAAAATAAAATTTTTGAGAAATTTAAAATTAAATTTTTATATAATGTAATGATTTAAATATATATTTGTCTCATATGTATATATATTATATACACAAAAGCAAAATATATTTTTAATATCTTGAATTTGTAATGTAAACACCAGATTCGTTTGTATGATATAAAAAAAGCAAACTGAAAACGTTAGTATTATAAAAAGAAATGAGGGATAAATATTTCTAATAGCAAAAGAGTATAAAAATTAAAATAACGATAGTGTTGTAAAAGCAGTTGCATATATGGTATGCGGAAATGACATTTTTATTACAGCCGATAATGTGTTATGTCATCAATGGTCTCTTTTGAATATTTTATCATTTTTATAGAAATACCTTTCTTTTAACCGTGCATGCATTTATGTTAAATAAGTTGAATATTATTGTTATAGAAAAATATATTACTATCGATTTTGATGGTGCATGTGGTACGAAGTGTTAAAAAGTTCGTGAATAACATCTCGCAAACGACATTAAAAATATTTGTACATTTTCGAAAAAAATTTTATACTTCTGAAAATATATATTAATGCACAAAACAAAATTACAATATTATTTGTAAGATGTGTGTTTGATACAAACTTAAGATCTAAATAATATATAAAAATGTGTAACTTAAAATATGTGTCTTTTTTTATTTTTGTGTGGCAGGCTCTACAATAATAATAATAAAAAAATGTGGAAACATTTTTCTGATGATGAAATCTACTGTAAAAATCATGATCGTGCCAAAAATCGATGTATGTTTGTGTGTGTATGTAAAAGGGAGAAAAGTTTTTATTAATCTACGAGAAATTATTTTCTAATAATTTCGCATCTAATAATAATGATCAAAGAAGGAAATGTGATGAAAATGTTGCGTGTCATTTATTTGAATGATGTCTTGTTATGCACATTTACGAAATTGTTTTTTTCTTCTCTAATAGCTGTTTGAAAATAATTCCAGAAAAATGACATTATTAAAAAAAAGTTAGACTAGACAATGACATAAAAATCATACGGCCAGTTGACTTTAATACCTTATAAAATTAAAGCGATATATAAAACAATAATTTTTAATATTTAATAAAAATTTGAAATACTAAAATGTGGAAAGCATATACATAAATAATAAATGTAAACCATGATGATGGAAGATATTAGAATTAAAATGCGCGTGATTTTTACGCCATATAGATATACTTATATAATTTACAAAGTATATAAAAATGTAAAGATATGCAAATGAGCAATTTATTAAATCATTTTCTTAAAAAGATTTTAGATATGTTTTTTTTAAATTTTTATAATGAAATAAAAAATTTTAATAATTACATATAGTTTATCACAAATCTTGAGTACATTTAATATTATCAATATATAACGTAAATAAGAATAAATATTTTATTTAGTATTTTATAATAGCATGTACATGTATATTTCTATAATATTTTTTTTATTTTACAAAATAAAATTCTGAGAGTGATGGCAAAAAGATTGTTTTTTTATATTAATCATTCGCATTTTGACGAAGTTTCGGACGTTAACAACATTGGAACGAAAGAATTCCCTTATCTAAATGTAACTAAAATTGTTGATAGTATCGACAATTTATTCGACCACTAAATAGTTTTATTCATTTCGAATATAATCGGTTACTTTTTTCATATTTTAATTGTTAAAACATTAAATGTATTTATTTTTTAGTTTAAAATATTTCGAATTTTTTTATGTTAATATGTAAAAGATATATTGCTATATGATTTAATATATATTAGAATTACTAATAGTTTAATAAAGTATAAGGACTTAAAGATATTGACGTTGTCAGAAACATTTAAAGAAATAATTTGAACCTTTAATGCTGTTTAAAAAGAAATTCTTTTGAAGCTGTGAAGTAATCACGTACTAAAAGTGCGAAGAAATAGAAATCTCTTCTATAGAAAATTTATTAAAATCTCTTAAAGTTATTCAGCTTCAATAAAATATTGAAAAATGTTAATAAGGCAGAGTTACATATTTATATTCAAACTTTATAATTTACTCATAATTCTCTTTAATAATCTATTTTATATTTATTTTTTATTATTTTACTTAGGTTTTCTGAACACATTGTTTGTCGATTTCGCTCTAAATTTCCTCTGCGTTTATGTGTGTATGTGTGTGTGCAAAATGTTCTAAAGTTAAACAATTATTTAGCCAGTATCTTCTACAAGAAATTATAATAAGAAAATGTATAAACATTCCCCTATAAACGTTTAATTTTAATATTAAGCGACATTAAAC